CCCTTGGGTTTAGAAAGCAGCTATTTGGATGATGGGCGAAGACTGTGAGCACGAGTGTAGAGCTTGATACGTTTGGTGATATGTATGGTTGTTTTTAACTTAAGAGATTTCAAAACAAAAAAGTGCAAGTTGAATTGCTCTGACAGGCAGCCAATGCTGCTGCCAGTGCAACTTTTTGCCGTGTAGACGTGTAGGTGAGCGTGTGTGTGTGTGTACGAGACGCATAAAACCTGTAAACACCTTCCAGATTGGTAACTGACTTTAGTCCAGAGACTATAGGGCAGGATTTATTATAATCCGTAACTATTGGTCATTTAATAGAGTTCAAGTGTAGGCCTACACTGCTACCAGGGAAGATTTGGGATAAGGGGTCTAGAACATAAAAATTTCGCGGGGGCATTCCCCTTGATCCCATAGAACAGTGTTGTCTCGATCGGCTTAACTTTCGGTCCCCCTCCCCTTTCGGTGCCCCCCCCTTCGGTCCGGCTACTCCCCCACCTGATCGCTCAGTTTAATATTTAGCTATAGAGGTAATGGTTGAGAATCTGTGCTAATTCTTTCACTGTTGCGCTCAGATTAGCGACATGTAGACGCACTTACTTCAGAGCTCACTAGTAAAAACGACCTGTATTATGACCTCAATTTTTTTTTTAAATACCTGCAAATGAGTGTCAAAAAAACATTTTCTGTGACGTAGACACAATGTTTTCATAACTGCAGAATAACTGTTGAGTGACAACGAAATTGGCTTTTATACCTTTCGGAAATTTTGCATAGGCCTAGTTATTTTTAAGCTTTGAATTAAAAAGGACATTATGTGCTGGGTAAGCATCGTGTGAACACTTGTCTGTAGCAACATGCTTAGCCAACTTTCAGTAATAATTGCAATATCGACATTGTACTTTAAAACAAAAAAAAAAAAAAAAAAAATACAATTCATCAACCTTATTTTCAAGAGATCTTGTATTAGCTACGAAAAGTCTAGGACTGTCTATATTTGATTATTACGTTTAATAGATACAATGTTGGTCGAGATTTTTCCCCTAGTTTCATAAGGCCTAGTAATTTGTACCTGTATACTTCTCTGTAGTTTTCTTCCACCTCTTTTACCCTTTGACCTAGAAAATACGTATACGTACGAAAACCACTCAGGCACACCTGGTATAGACTCTGGAGGAATTATTGTAAATATGCTTGTATTGAAAATCGTTGTTACCTCCGTCATGGAGGTTATGTATTCACTGATGTCTATCTGTCTGTTAGCAAGATTACACAAAAACTAAGATGGATCATCATAAAATTTAGTGGTATGGTACATAAAGAGATGATTAACTCTTGGGGGAACAAAGTTTAAGAACAAAGTTTACGGATATTTGATTTTTACCCCTTGGACATACCCTCGAGCATAAATGATAATAATGGAATTGCACATACCGCCGGCGCTCCCACGCAGTTTTCGGTATTCAGACACAGGGCAGAGGTATGCCTACTATGGATAGAATACTCTAGTATTACAAATGTTATACGAACACCAGGGCACTCGGGACATACGACACAAACACTTTGATAGTTATGTAAGGTAAGTTGAGCAGTATTTAATAATTTCTTTTTCCCATTTACAGTTTTTATTTTACCATTTTTAAAGATTGGATGCATATTGAACATTTTATAGTTACACTCTGTCTTGCGTATTATTAAAAGAGCTTCAGAAGAATAAATGAATAAGATATGCGCACATTCAGTAAAATTTTGCCCCGTTGTCAATTTTTATGTGACATTCTTGAATTTGTCCATATATGGGCATATACATCATCACAGCCATATTATTTGAGCAAACCACAGATAATTTGTCGCAGAAACCTTGACAGCATGGAAAGAGGATCAGTTGTGTTATTGTATATCCGAAAGTCGAAATAGAATACATACCAAATAATAATTAGGCCTATTAGGTTTTAATCTTAAACATCAGATATCAATGGTGAGGCGGGGGCTTTTTTAGGTTTCCAGAATTTAATGAACATGTATTTTTTGATTAAATTATTACTGTATATGTATTGTTATTTTAATGTGCCATAGAAATATATATTTAAACTTGAGACATCCGACACAGCATTTGATTTACTAATATTCGATAATCGATAACATATCTCTGAAGCATAAAGTAAAGGTCTATTTACACATAACGCAATAGCGGTATGCAACAGTGACAAGACATTCTGTCGGCCGTCGTGCTCATCGTTCGCGGTATATTCTGTAGTCTGCTTGCTCAACGAATGATGCGTTCAGTGTTTCACATTACCATAAATTATGGGTCTTGTTTTTTTTGCCGCTGACGCGTTGTGTGTAAATAGGTCTTAAAGAGCGGGAGATTCCCAATTAAAATTATGTCATTCATTAGGGAAAATATTTATACATTGTGAAATAGCGTTTAATTATAACACAAAAGCCAAAATAACCAGTATATAGATCCTGTTTTTCTGGACATCACCAAATGCCGTAACTCAGATTTCTGACGAATTGGAATTCGTGTCCATTATTTTACTGTGGAATAAAAAGAATGTTTTAATAAAGTGTAAAAACAATATAATTTACCATCATCCACTATTGACATAAATTTTAGTTTATGGCAATTAATTGCATATTATAAACCTCTATGAAAAAATGTTTTTACACTAATAGTCCTAGAACGCTGTGTTATTATTACTATTATTATTATTGTTATTATAGTTATTGTTGTTACTATTGTTGTTATTGTTGCTGTTGTCGTTGTTGTTGTTGTTATTGTTGTTGTCGTCGAAACAGATACAGTAGTTAATTAAACACCTTTAAGATTAATATTTTAAAAAGGATATTATAGTATTAAATAGTAGGTGTTGACAACGTACCTTTTGAAGATTGACTTCTATAGCTGGAGAATAATTAAGAAATAATATTTTCATTATCATCATGACTGAATTATGATCTATTCATTCTGTATAATCTATTACATATTCAAAAAAATATATATCGGCATCGGTTGGGGCTGTGTGAAGAAAGTTTCTCCCGCTAGGACGATACGTGTATACGTTATAGTACAGAAATGTGCATGTAAAAGAAATAAGGGTATATAATATTATTTCATAATTAGTGCTAAGAACTTACCTTTTGGAGATTGACTTCGAAATCTAGTGAATAAATAAACAGAATAAACGTTGCATTAAAAAACTGGATATTCATGACTACAATTCAAAGGACGCTAATAGTATGTTTACATTCATTTAATTTCTAGGTAGACCTAAAATGTTTTGATTTTTGCAATGGAAAGAATATGTTTACCCATTCAGAAAACGAATTTGAAACGTAGAGATACTATACTTACAACACATAAACTTTTCTTATAACTATTTACGTGGTTTATCCAAAATTTATAGTAATGATTTAATGAGTTGAGAGACTGTTCCATTCAACTCGGCTTCTTCGGAAATCGGACAAAAACCACCATGGACAAAAACTATACAATGGACTATACCATGGGGTGGGTAAGGGGGTGGACAATGTTGGGTGGGCTTGCCTTTATCTCAATAGCATAGGTTCTCCTCGTCGTTGCATTGAACAGTCAGTCGTTCACTCATTGCAGTAGTCATAAGCATTCATTATTTGTATATTGATAGAAAGTTTAACATATTGCTTCAAAATTTAAGTCGTATCCTAAAACTGTTAAAATAGAAAAAATATTATTCGCTATAAAAATGTAGGGTGGATACCAACATAAAGTGCATCATTTCACAAATGATTGTTTCTTTTGTTGATTGCATAATTAGTTAAACTATAGATATGCAGTCGACATACTTGCTACTTGTTTAATCGTTATAAAAGTGGGTCTGCGGTAAGCTAGACATTACATTTTTTTCTCATATTTTGGGTTCCTGACATTGTTTTCACAATTTTCCATTCTTTTCAGACATCTTATGGCCAATAGCAATGCCGTACGCACTCATCAAACATAGTGATCTTTGCGCGAGTTTGTGCCGATATACAGTGAAAATATGCTAAAATCAGGCTTATTTTTAATCAGTTATAACTCCGTGGGATGATCGGTGACCCCCAATTTTTATTACATATTCTGAAAGCACATGAGTTGTAAATATGATTTTATAGATCATAATGGCGAATTAAGAAAAAACTTTTTATTTATGACGTTATTTTTATAATCGTTTGAACGTATCTCGCTTATTCTTGATTGATCGTCTGCCACCTGTGAGTATGTTATAGCTGAGACAATTCTCTTTCGGAAGTGTCCTTTCATTTTTCATTCTGACGACGTCATCATGGTCAAAAAAATTAACTTCTGGACCCCTCTCATCTATCTTTCTTAAACTTTAGGCCGGCAGACTGTATTTCGACGCTATTAGACTAATATAATATAGTTCATATGAAAGGAAAATTCGTGTGTCATTACTAACCTACATGCGTTTTTAAATTAAACATTAACAAGGTTCAATTTCTTGTGCCATTACCGTCCACGCACACGTCGTGACGTGCGCGTACGTGTGCGTGAAAATTTATTAATATCACTTTTCAGATAATTTAAATCATGTTTCAGGTCATTTTCAGCATCCCAAAACTTCCCATAATTTACAAGGCACACGCTCATTTCCACACGCATAGTAACATACTGAAGCTATAATTTACGTTTCCTTACATATTTTGGGTTCCTCACACAGTGTATTTATATCAGGAGTCAACTTTTTTTGCCATTACCGCGCGCGCTGGCGTCAAAACGTGCGCGTACGTATGCATAAATCTTTTAAAATTATTTTTTAAAACTAATTGGAGCATATTTTAGGAAATTTTGAGCATTTTAAAACTTTTCAATCTGTACCGCGCGCACTTCCTGAGGGTCAAAGTGCGGCGGATCACCAAACTCGTCCGCAGTGACGAGTTCAAGTCTAGTTATTGTTTATATTGTAAATACGTCATATGTATAATATTTATTTATGATTCAAATACATCATACCGGTATGTATAATATTTAGAAATGACATAATACTATGAACACGTTTATAATAGCAAGCTAATATTTAGGATTGATTTAGGTTGCAAAATTGAGGTAAAATTAAAGTGGTTAGTGCTTGTCTTTTGGTTAGCATACTACGGAATGTCGCAGGTTTAATCCAATCAAGCAAGGACACATTTCCAAACAGCTTCTATACATCCTCATAAAGTGGGTCTGAGGTAAGCTAAATATACCTTAGGAGTCGCCGCTAGTTACCTCGCCCACAC